CAGCAGTTTCTTTTCCAGAAAGGATTTTCTTTCTCCTTTACTTATGAAGTTTAGTTTGGCTGGATATGAAATTCTAGGTTGAAAGTTCTTTTCTTTAAGGATGTTGAAAATTGGACCACACTCTCTTCTGGCTTGTAGGGTTTCTGCAGAGATCCACTGTGAATCTGATGGGCTTCCGTTTGTGGGTAACTGAACCTTTCTCTCTTGCTGCTCTTAGCATTTTTTCCTTCATTTCAACCCTGGTGAATCTGACGATTATGTGCCTTGGGGTTGCTCTTCTTGAGGAATACCTTTGTGGTGTTCTCTTTATTTCCTGGACTTGAATTTTGGCCTGACTTGCTAGGTTGGGGAAGTTCTCCTGGACAATATCCTAAAGAGTGTTTTCCAGCTTGGATTCATTTTCTCTGTCACATTCAGGTTCACCTATCAAACACAGATTAGGTCTTCTCACATAATCCCATATTTCTTGGAGGCTTTGTTCATTTCTTTTCACTCTTTTTTCTGTATTCTTACTGCCTTATTTCACTGAGTTGATCTTCAGTCTCTGATATCCTTTCTTCTGCTTGGTCAATTCAGCTACTGAAACTTGTGTATACTTCGCAAAGTTCTCGTGCTGTTTTTTTCAGCTCTATCAAGTCATTTATATTCTTCTCTAAGCTGTTTATTCTAGTTAGCATCTCATCTAACCTTTTTTCTAGGTTCTTCATTTCTTTGCATTGGGTTAGCACATGTTCTTTTAGCTCTGAGAAGTTTTTGCCCACCTTCTGAAGCCTGTTTCTGTCAATCCATCAGATTCATTCTCCATGTTATCTTTGATCCCTAGCTGGTGAGGAGTTGCGATCCTTTGGAGGAGAGGCATTCTGGTTTTTCGTGTTTTCATCCTTTTTGCACTAGTTTCTTCCCATCTTTGTGAATTTATCCACCTATGATCTTTGTAGTTGGTGACTTTCAGATGGGGTCTCTGAGTTGACGTCATTTTTGTTGATGTTGAAGCTATTTCTTTCTGCTTCTTAGTTTTCCTTCTAACAGGCCCCTCCGCTGCAGAACTGCTGGAGGTCCACTCTAGACCCTGCTTGCCTGGGGATCACCCCAGGGACTGCAGAACAGTAAGGGTTGCTGTCAGTTTCTTCTTCTGCAATCCTCATCCCAGAAGGGTACCTGCCAGATGTTGGCCTCAGCTCTCCTTTGTGAGGTGTCTCCTTGGTTATACAGGGATCAGGGAGTTGCTTGAGGAGACAGTCTGTTCTGTGTAGGAGCTCAAGTGCTGTGCTGGGAGCGCCATTGTTTCCTGCAGAGCTGCTGGGCAGGTACCTTTAAGTCTGTTGCAGCTGAACTCATAACCACCTCTTTTCCCAGCTGCCATTTTTCATAGATGCCCTTCCCTGCACGTAGTAGTCTAGTCACAGTCTGCCAACAGAGGTGTTGCTGAGCCGCCGCAGGCTCTGCCCAGCTGTTGTCTGAACTGCCTCGGTAGTGGCAGACTGCCACGGTAATGGGGGACGCCCTTCCCCACACTGAGCTGGACTGTCCTGGGTCCAGCTGTGCTTGATGCAAAACTCTCAATCCAGAGCATTTCAGATTGCTCATTTGTGGGGATGGTACTCACTGAGCCAGATCACCTGGCTCCCTGTCTCAGCACCTCCCTTTCAGTTGAATGGGTGGCTCTGTCTCCCAGGCATTTCAGGCACCAGTCGAAACGGCTGCCCAGACTTATGTGAGTTTCTGTACACCAACCTGGCACCGGATGAAACCTCCATGCTGAAAACTCATGGTGCTTTTCGGCCTGGGAATCTCCTGGTCTGTGGGCAGTGAAAATTTGTTTGGAAATGTGGTGAGCACTCACCCTCTGCACTGTTCTCACTGGGAACTTCACTCCAGAGCTGTTCCTATTTGGCCATCTTGGATCCTCCTCCTAGTTTTGCAATTTTTATTACTAGCTTTATCAGTGAACAGTTTTTCAAAATTTAAGCATAAATATATTCTGCTCCCCAAAAGTACAATAAAAGCTATATATGCCATTTTAAGATGGGTACCATTTCAAAAGAACAGAAAGAATTTCTTAGGTGGTAAGAGGCAAGTGATGTCCAACTCCTGGGCTGTTTTTTACATGCTCAGGCCTTGAACTTTACTTCATGATGCTGCTTCTGCAAGGCTGCTCCCCACAATATGATTTACTACTTGGATCAGAATTAAGAGAAACTTTGAGATTTGACAGAAAAATTTTAAGTATGAGACATAAAAAAGCAAAGGAAGAAAGAAATCTCAATGAGAGACCCTGAATTCAGTCTTCCTGGATGTTCCAACTTCTTAGTGCAGGAACATTTGGACCTGAGATCACCCCAGGATGAAAGCCACAGCATCTAAGCTAGGAAACCAGCCAGTCTGAACCATGTTGCTTAGTTTTTAACACCCATTGCTCACATTCCTATTTAAAAATCAAATTAAAAGTTCAGACTCCAGGTTGGCCTACTGTTGTTTTTCTTTTCACATAAATGACAAAAAACCAACAAGCTAGTTCAAACAGCATCTCCTATTAGGAATATTGACACCAAAAACAGAGTAAATTAATTCCTCTGGGTTTGTTTACTCACCTGAAAATGGGGATAAGAGAGCGACCGCCAGGGCTCTACGTAATAATATGGTGACACCACCCTGTATGTCTGTAACAGCAACTGCTTTAGGACTATATTGTTTTCTACTAAAATCCTATACTGAGAATTAGGGAAAGTTAATAAAAAATAACTTCTGATTGACCTCAAACGCTTTAAGACATAAGTAGTGATTGTATAATCCCTAGCATAGCTGGTTCTCCTCTCCCTCTTGGCTCATAGGCGCCCAAAGTCTTTGGCCCCTTTATGATTTGGTGAATGAATGCAGGTCAGGGGTCTCACCTCTGGGATGGGCAGCACATTGCTGGGATCTGTGGATCATTCTCCTACCACTGGGATCTGTGGTCCCTTATTCTGCCCTGAGAGCGGCAGACATGGGGCAGAGCTGACCTGTGGACATGTGGCATAAATGGAAATGAGCCTTTGTCATTTTAAACCAGATATCTAAGGGTTGTTTATTACTGCAGCATCAGACAGTCCTTCCTGACTGATCAACTTTCTATGAAGTCATGCCTTCCCTGTAATGAGACCATGTTGTCTGTAACGGTGGTTGGTCCAGTAAGTTTATCAATATAAAGCCTACTGAATTATAAATTTATCAGTATGACTACTAAATTGTGGCCTAATATCCATGAAATATGAAAAGACAGAGGAATCAACTGAACAGTAAAGGTACTTCAATCCAAATCAAGTAGGAGAAGATAGTACCTTCAACGTAGTTGTAGGTGCAGAATTATTTCTATCCAAAGCCCACTACAAAATGTTAAAATAGGTTACAAAATACCGTAATAATAAACCTAAGGATGAAGACTTTAAAATGCCATGGTCCACTGCTTTGTGAAACTGAACTCCAAGCTCAAAGGCACCGTCCTGGTGTCCCCCACTGACATGGTACAAAAACTAAAGTAAAAAAAAAAGGCTTATGTGGTTACCTGAGTATGCAGAGAACTTCCTGCAAGAATTCAGCACTCACAGTACACATCTTGGTCTTTGTACTCCAATTGTGCCATGGTCCCAACCATTTTGGCCCTCCCAAGGAGGTATATTTGTTTTTATTTGGCTAAATGGCTTACCCTGGGTTAAGTATAAAAATAAGTATTTCATATTGATAAAGTCAACTTTTGTGATAATACTTTCTAGTTATGTTTAGGAATAAATTTTCTGATCATTATGATAATCTGTGCAGGTTTATATTTAAGGTTCTTAAAACATTTAACAAAATCTCACGTATTAACCTTTTTATTTTCATTTTAAATCTTTGTGATTGAGAATTTTTCACAAAGAGTATTTGAAAATTTGAAAGCTCAAAATACCATGTATAAGTTGGATTTACTAGCTTTATAAGTTACTGAAGTACTTAGAAAAATTTTTTACTTTTAAGGCTATTAAATTAGGCCCCTTGAAAAATTTAAGAGTCAGATATAAAAAAAAAAAAACCCTGTAAAGGTAATGTAACTCTATGGAAGCAAATTTACCAAGTGTGTTAAGTGAAGGCGATTATCTAAGGGCATTTTATTGACTGTCCTTGAGTATTAATTAAATGCCATGTAAGTTGTTTCTATGCACAAAACCTTGTTGGAATAAAGATAATTGAATGGAAAGTTTGTTTTCCTTTTTCAAAATTTGTGTCTGCCACAGTATTTTTTACTTTCAAGATGTTTTTAATGTCCTTAAATTTAACTCATCACATTAAAGTCATTATTGAGCCTTTTTTGATGAGTCAAATGAAAGCAATGTGGGGGAGGTGGGTGACAGAGGAAGGTGGACTTTGCTTATCCTTCATGGCTTATCCTTCCTCTTCTTGCTGCTACAAACACAATCACGACTACAAACCACATTCAGGACACTCCAAAGTGTCCTGGAAGAAATACAAAATCACACTATGTCTGAGAGCCACTTCTGCATTCTTTCTTACTCCAACTTCTCCTAAATGCAAGTATCACATTATTATTAATTTCCATTCCATGAAAGACAGGGATAATATTACATAGTTAGCATCCAATTACATCTGATTACAAGTAAATTTGCTAGTAATTAAGGTGCTAATTATATAAACAAGTTCACATCAGTACTCTTAGCCTCCTAATCACATACGATTTTATCTCAACCCAATCAAAGAATTACTCTCTTGAAAGATGTATTAGTCTTCCATCTCACCAAAACAGCAGCATATTATAGTATTATAATAAGTGAATGACTAATATTTTGAGAAGCTCAAACAGTTTAAATTTCCAAAGATACCTTACTCCCAAAGAGCAGGAAAGACAACTGCAGATATTTTGTAAATACTGTCTTTGTAAAATAAAGCTGAAGTCATGTAATTAAGAGAATGTGTCCCTGGAAAAAAAAAAAAATTAACAAGCTAAACAAAATAAATAATACAAAGAATAATCATATTTATATAGTTTCAGGTTTTATTTTCATAATTATCTTCCTATAGAAGCAATAATCTGTATTTCCATAATAACACATTTAATATTCTACTCATCAGAGCTGAAAAAAATAGGAATAAAGCAGATTTCATACACAAATACCATACTCTGCATATGTACAAATAAATTCAATATATTAAGTCTATTTTGTAGCTGGACTTCATTTACAATGTAACAGAACGATGAATATTAAATTCTGAGCATATTCATGCAGACTTCCACTTTGGTGAAAGTGATGACAGTGGAGTTCTGGAAGACGATTTTTCTTGTAAACACCAAGTTTTATACTTCTGACTACATTCTCAAAACAGAAACTTAACGTGAATAGAAAAAGAAAATGTTTAAATGTGAAACAAATATTCTTCACCACATAGAATAACCCTGACAACAAAGAATATCCTCAAGTCCTAGTTATTCAATCTTAACCATGGGCAAGAAGGGTTAAGGAGGCTGTACTTGGAAACGGCCTTTTGTGTGATTTAAAGGCCAGCTGCGCTGCTGCTACAGAATACACTTCATCATCACCTTTCTTTAAAAAAAAAAAGTTTTCGGTACACAAGAGTAAAACTAAAAAAATTCTTCCCCAAGACTTTAATGGGTAATAAGATCAATAAACAAATAGTCTAAAACATCTTTAAAGTATTGCCAAATCTGTTTAAACAGATTATTAATTAGCTCAAATGAGCATTAATGTAAGACTCCAGAATTTTCTGACTGGATCTAAAGTAAAGAATACAAGCAGCAATGATGGATTTTCTGAAACACTGCAATGTCCTTAAATGCAAATGTCTAAATATAGCTTGTTCATAGTTAATTCCAGTATCATTAATAAAAATGAGCTGCTACTTGAAGAACTATGCCAATAAATTAAGGAAGAAAAACATTAAATTCATTAGAGTTTTATATCAGACCTACAATAAAAAACTGTATACCAACATCCACGTACCCAAGACCACCTCCCAAAGAAAAATGTTATTCTGTCTAAGCTCTCCTACAGAACTAGCTGCGACTAAAATCACTTCTGATACTCCCTGTTTTTAGAAAGTCTAGCAAAATTAAGCATCCTATACTCAAAATTTAAGGTATGACTCTAAAAGAGATATAGACAGGGCATGAATAAGTAGCATGTACCTGCAGAATGCACAATGCTGGTGTCTGCAGCCTCTTTCCAATTAACAGATTATGAGATGGGTCTAAGCCACATAGGGTAAAAAAGGAATGTTTCAAAATCAGCATTTTAGGAAATAACTATAAAGGATCAATATATTGGCAGTGCAGTGTTTTAAATACATGTCTTTCTAAAACGATTCTTCCCTTTCAGCTAAATTTTCATAGTTATATAGCATTTTCCATATCAAGTTACGAAGGAGTTAAAATCAAAATAAACCAATTTATTCTGGAGAAAAGAAATGTAGCTGTACTAGGTTGATGGAAACATTACCTGGTTCTTACAATGCATAAAAAAGATATTTGCAGGCCAGGAGAGGTGGCTTATGCCTACAATCCCAGCACTCTGGGAAGCCGAGGCAGCAGATGGCCTGAGCTTAGGAGCCTGAGGACAGCCTATGCAACATGGAGAAACCCCATCTCCACAAAATATACCAAAAAAAAAAATTACTCTGGCATGGTGGTGCACGCCTGTAGTCCCAGCTATCTGCTATAGTCCCAGTTACTCAGGACTGAGGTGGCAGAATCACCTGAGACCAGGAGAGGCTGCAGGGAGCTGTGATTATCCCACTGCACTCCAGCCAGGACAACAGAATGAGACTGTGTCTTAAAAAAAAAAAAAAAAAAAAGGGGGGGGGTCTGGGCGTGGTGGCTCACGCCTGTAATCCCAGCACTTTGGGAGGCCAAGGCGGGTGAATCACGAGGTCAAGAGATTAAGACCATCCTGGTCAACACGGTGAAACCCCGTCTCTACTAAAAATACAAAAAATTAGCTGGGCATGGTGGCGCGTGCCTGTAATCCCAGCTACTTAGGAGGCTGAGGCAGGAGAATTGCCTGAACCCAGGAGGCAGAGGTTGCGGTGAGCCAAGATCGCGCCATTGCACTCCAGCCTGGGTAACAAGAGGGAAACTCCGTCTCAAAAAAAAAAAAAAAAAATGGTATTCATCAGCTATCAGCTCCTATTTGGTTAAGAGCCAAGTAGATATGAAGACAGTCACTATATATTTTTTAGAAGGAAAAAATACCTACACTTCAGAGAGGACTGAAGATATTTATAGAATCACTTTAATATGCTACCTTCAAAATTTTTCAAACTCATATATTAAGAGCTTCAGTGCACCTTTAATTGGGCTAAATAATATTGTAAGGCTCAAAATAACTTCCTGTTCCCATCTCATCTCTGAAAAGACTTAATAATTTAAATGTATCTAACATCATAGGGGATAAATTTCCTTTTCCAAACAAAACAAATTTTAAAATAATTTTACCAGTAAACATCACTTTTAGCAGCAATTATTAAATAAAATGTAAAACACAATTCACTAACAGTAACTTACAACTGTCTAAAAGAGAAGAATACCTATGCTTATCACCCCTTTTGTTTAGAACATAATTTATGTATAATTTGGCTTGTAAATTTTTTAATCAACTGTATTAAAACATGACAGTAGATTTTCTGTTAATTCCTGCTGGTGTCTTAAGAAAGCTCTTATGGAAAGAAAAAGATATGCTTCACAGATAAAGGATATGACTGATTTGGGAAGATGGTAACTAAAAACTAGTTTTTATTAGGATCTAAAATCACGACTGTAATGAAGTACAGCTATCCCTAATCTAGACCCAAGTCCTTGAAATATGCATGTCAGGATTTCCCCTTTATTTTCCTTTTCTTTTCAGCAAGCAAAATACTAGCATAGTCCTCCTGAGTATTCGTCTTCCTCTTCATCAGCAGCTGTGGCAGTGACGCCATCAGGCTTGGCCTGTGGTGTCGCAGGTGATTTCTTCTTGATTCCCCCTCCTGGAACCACCAAACTCAGGCCCAGCTTAGCATACTGTCAACAACAGAACATGTTCTTAAAAGCTGGATAACTAGAATCCTGACACATTTTACTCACCTCTAAAAACACACAGCCTGGCTCTCCACCCTCATGAACACCAATTCTGCCATTCAGATGGAAAAACAAAACCCAATAATGTTGTCTCCAGATGCCTCATGACCATGGTGGGACAGGTACACAACTAGTAAAAGTATCAATCATATATTTTTTAAATTAAAAAATATGTATTTTCAAAACCATGTAAGAAGTTATTTAGAAAAAAATTTTTTCTACATACATCATTATAAAACAACTGAAGACCTTAAGTTGATCTGATACTATGATGATACTCTAAAGGCCTAAGACCAAAAGGTACTTAGAAATCTACTGAGAAAGAGAAATGAGAAAAAATAGAAACTTATAGCACCATGGTTCCACTTTATGTGCAAGCTATCATGTAAGGATATTTCTCACACACAGACTAATGTATTCTTCACAACAGTCCAGCAAGACAGGTACTAGTGGCCTCAGTTTTACAAATGAGTTAACTGAGGCTTTAGCTAGTCATCACAGATTCCCACAGGTCTAGTGAATTATGAAGGCCACTACACAATGGGCCTCTTTCAGACGGTGCATCTAAAAGAAACAAATATACTAAGCAACCTTAATATATAAGGTTATATACTCAGTGTATTTTCCTCTAACAGATAGAGGAAAAGTTGAGAAATTAGCCTGAATTTTAAAATATGTATACGGTCAAGAGAGTTAGATGGGTGAGTAAATCGCTATAAACCACACAACTAACATCCATTTTATCTAAATCTATGGTGAAATTCAATGCAAGTAGTCAGTTTCCTAATGAGTAGTTTAAGAAGAAAAAAAGAGGTAGAAAAAAAAAACTCCTAAGTACACGGGTAAAAAATAATCTCAACAGAAACCTCTTTCTTTCAAGAGAAAAGATTTAAAGATATGCAAACAGGTCCACTTACATCATTGTCCATGTACTTGAAAAGCGGCGAGTTGCAGACGTCTGACACTTGATCTTGGTCTTGCTGGTCATAACCTTCAAGAAGCTGTTCCAGCGCAGCACAGTCTTCACTGCCATTAAACCCGGGGATGCTGCAGTAATCACAAATCACACGTCTTCACCTCTCCTTAAAAGAATACATCTCAGCCAGGGATGATTCTGCCCCTGGCATGTGACAATGTCTGGAGACATTTTGGTTCTTAAAAGGGTGGGAATATTAGTGGCATCTAGAGTGCAGAGACCGGGGATACTGCTAACCAACCTGCAGTGCACAGGACAGGCCCGACCACAGTTGTCCAGCCCAAATGTTAATAGTGTCAAGATTAAAACTGCTTATGTTAAACACTGAGAAAATCCCTCTTTCTGATTTCTGTAACATACAATCTGATAATTTTTTCCTCCTTTTTCTTGTTCTTTTTTTCTTGGAAGGCAAATAAAACAAAATCACTAAAGTCATACATTTCCATGGAGGTCCCCAAGAGAAAAATACAGGAAAGGGAAATCAAAAGTGTAAAATACCCACTGTAAAAGATAAAATGGTAGATGAGCACTCCTAAGATTTAGAAATAAGTTCCATGGCCAGGAACATTTATCCTAGCAGCAATCTTAGTTGTAGAAACACAAGTGTCAACAATGCAAGTGAAAAAGGCCCAGACAATGTCTTACCTATAGCTCTCCCGAACACATCTTTCGGCAGCTACATAGTCATTTCTGTGTAGATGAACTAAGACTTGAGCAATTGTTTTCTAAAACAAAAGAGAGGATCATGGTCAAATTTATATCTGTTTAATAAAGTCAATATCCTGGCAGTATTAAATACATCTGGAATATAACTTTCAGAGTCTCTGTTTGCATAAAGAGAGATTTATAAATGCTGTAGTAGCTTCCAGAGGACACTTGAGGGGAAACAGCCTAGAACCGTACTTTTCCAACTCTCGTGTCCTGGGATTTGGTTACATGAAAACAGTAAGCCTGGGGCAAGCCTGGGATTCACCCATTTCTAACAAGCTCCAGGGGGCACTCTTATTGCTGGTCTGGGGACCACACTGTGACATAGGCCTTAGATCACAACCATGTTTTAAAGAGAATTTCTTTCAAATATCTACACAGATTCAAGCTTGAAACATGAATAAAAAAGAGGAGGGGGACCCATAACTCTGCGATGATACTTACAATCCTTAAAAAGAAACTAGGAAAAAGATGTATGAGTGAAAACCTCAGATAACAGAAACAGTGATAGTATTGATAAGTCAACAATAAAAGCAGATATAAGATCAAAGATATGACTAATAAATTATTGGCAAAATAGGTCTTTGTGAAGTATTTTTCCATGTTTTTTACCTTTATTGTTTAGGTAACTTTTACTGATCCATCTTCAAGCTCACAAAGTCTTCCTTCTGTCATCTCTATTATGAGATTAAGCTTATCCAATATTTTATTTCAATAACATATTTTCCAGCCCTAAAATTCCCATTTAGTTCATCTGTATAGTTTCTATAAACATAATTTTTCAATAAAAAGCAACAGATCCCCTTTTCCATTCATTTCTATTGTGTTCACCTTTACCTCATGGAGCAACTTACAGTTGCTTCAAAGTCTTTATGTGATAATGCCAACAACCCCGATCACAGCAGGGTTGGCATCAGTTGCCTTTTCTCCTAAAAACTGGTCATGTTTTCCAGGTTCTTTGCATGTTGAATAATTCTGGATTGTACTGTGAATGTGATACTGTGCAGCTTCTGCTTAATTTTCAGGATTATGGATGTTTTCAGCAGGTAATCACCCCAGGTAGGTTCAGACTACACGTGGTACCTTCCTTTTGGTGGATGGAGGTTCTACACTTAGTTAAAATCCTTTGCTATGTGGCTTTGGGCCCATTCCATGCATAAGCCCTTCAGAGGGCAGCGCAACACTTCGACAGTGATGAAACCTTAGCTCTCCAAGCTTTGCACTGCTACTCTGGGACCTGTCTAAGCACAGCCGAAGAGTAAATCCAAGTTTTGTGTGGGCCACATCCACACTTAGGAGACTCCGTTTCCAGCTCTTTCCTTTCTGGGATTTTCTCCTTGCTCTCTAGCTCATTTTCCTAGTTCCTCTGGCAAAAGAGACTGGGATCCTTGTGGAGTTTTATTGACCTGAGCCATCATCACAGTGTAGCTCCATGCCTTAGGCACAAGCTTAGAGCAAAAGCCGAGAAAACAATGGGACCTCTTCTCTCAGTGCTGGTTAGAAAGATGGGGTTTCTTTTGAAGTTTTCACTGTTGCAGCCTGTGCTGCCCAGCTCCACAACTGCAGGCTTCTCCAAGGGCAGGGCAAAAAATGGAAAAAAAAAAAACCTGAGAAATTCACTCCTACAGTGGTTGTTTCTCCAATTGTTTGCTCCTCTCCTTAGTCTATTGGCTTGTATTTACTTTTCAGAGTTCAAGGGTGGTTGCTTTCGCTATTCAGATTAGCTGTAATCAGCAGAGAGACAAGCTGTATTGGCCTTACTCTATCTTGGTCAAAAACAGAGGCCCATGAAGTATTATTTTACAAAAAACATAGAAATATCCATAGAATCCTTTCCTAGGTACATATTCAGACCAGTATAAAAAAATCTAATGTAATGCCAAAAACAAACACATTCAAAGAATACCTTATAACAAGTTGGATAATTCTCAATTTCCTTATAAATATTTTTTTCTTTCTGAATAGAGAGTGCCGCCTCATCAAACCTAAAAGGAAACACAGGTACGTAAAACAAGAAGGTCTAAATAATCTACAGCAGAGGTCCCCTGTGAAATGTATTTGATGTCATGGATTGTAGAGACACCAGGAAGACAGGTATTGTTAGCAGCTGCCCCAGGACCAAGGTTTCTACACACTCTGCTCATCTGGCTTGCCTTTCAAATGTCTAACTCCCCACTTTCAGACGGTACACTGACAGAAAAAGCAAAATAACTCAAGGATGGGTTAGGTCAAACAGGGAGTTTTAAGCTTGGTAAGGATTGTCAATAATGAGTTTCTGTCAAACAAACTTCTTTGTGATACATAGTTGAGATGATCTTCAATTAAATCACCCAAGATTTCTTTCCTCCAGACTGAAAGAACATCCAGACATCCCAGGGCACCCCATGCCATCACCCCACCGTGTCCCTCCAACACATACTCCGCTGTTGCCTCAGTGGCCCTAGCAAGCTCTCAGGTGCCTAAGAGGGCAGCGTTGAGGGGAGGCAAATTAGAGACCTAAACAAAATCCTTCCTGCATCTTCAATCTCCAACATTCATCTTTTCCATTGACTCACATACATTCTTCTTTTCTTCTATTATGCCCAATGGCAGAATGAAGATGAAAGCAAGGAAAGGGGTCACCAAAAACTTCCCCCCAAATGCTCCAGGCCCTTATCCCTTTCTCACTTCCCCAGCCCTAATTCCATCAAATCCTAATTGAATCCTCCTTCCTCCAAAACTGTAGTATACTCCAAATACCAGGAATCCCTGAGTAACACAACTTGAGACTGAGTGAAATGTACAGTCTTCAGCCATTGCTCTCATCCCAATAAGAGTCCAAGGTTATGGGAGCAACTACCAGGGGTCTGGGCATTGGGATTATATACAAGCAACTGCCAAAAGGGGCAAGAGTCTGGACTATTGGGATTCAAGGGGAGACCAGTGGTATTGTAACCCAAAGTAAAAATACAAAAATGTTATGCTCTATTTTTCTATATGTTATCTTTTTTTTTTTTTTGAGACAGAGTCTCACTCTTCTGCCTAGGCTGCAGTGCAGTGATGAGATCTCAGCTCACTGCAACTTCCACACCTGGATTCAAGTGGTTCTCCTGCCTGTGTCCCCAGTAGCTGGGATTATAGGTGCATGCCACTTCGCCCACCTAATTTTTGTATTTTTAGTAGAGACAGGGTTTCACCATGTTGGCCAGACTGGTCTTGAACTCCTGACCTCAGGTTAGCCACCCGCCTTAGCCTCCCAAAGTGCTGGGATTATAGGCGTAAACCACCACATCTGGCCTGTATGTTAACTTTTTAGAAATAGTTGCATGTATACACACACACTCACCCCCCCACCTCACATCACACACACAGTGGCTTGGCTTATGCTATTATGGCTAAGTACATCATGAGTTAAACTAAATCTTTATGAGATGTACCCTGGCAACTTAGCACCTTATAAAATGACACTCATTGAAGAAATGCATTCTGAATTTCCAAAGGTCAACTTGATAAGATAAAATTTTGGAATAAAGTCAATTTATAACTTGGGTTCGGTAGCAGAATTCTAAGAGTATTCTCGATTCTTCCCTCTTATAAACACTTCCCGTATAATCCCCCTTTAAGTGTGGGTGTGACCCTCGAAATATGATGGGCCATCCTGTGATTAGGACACAAATCAACTGACATTGAGTGAATCACTGTCTTTGTGGGCCTGACTTAATCAGGTGGGCCCTTCCTTAAGTTAGAGACTGGAAATCAGAGTGACGTGCTCCTGATGGCTGGAATTGGCAGCAAACTGCCATGCTGTGAACCACCAAGGGAGCATATGGCCAGGAACTGAAGGAGAACTCAACAACTGAGAGCAGTTCCTGGCCAACAGGCAACAAGAAAACAGGAATCTCTGTCACACAGCTGCAAGGAAATCAATTCTGCCAACAATCAATAAGCTTGGAAAAGGACCCAAGCCTAAGATGAGATCACAGTCCCCTCTGACACCTTGATTTCAGCCTGATGAGACCCTAGCTCTGCTACCTAGCAACACTAGGTTCTAGCTACACTATATCCAGACTTCTGGCCTCATGAAATTGTGAACTCATCAGTGAGTATTGTTTTAAGCTGCTAAGTCTGTGGCAATTTGCTATGCAGAAATAAAAAATTAATGCAAGGCAGACTACAGCTTCATGTATATAAAACATTTTCAGTTGTGACCCTGAGCTTATCATAGACCCTATTTCTATAAAATGAATTCAGAATATTCTGTGCTCATAGTGTTCAGATTATATTACATTCTAGTAGCAATCTCAGTATTTTATATTTTTCATATATTTAACTATAAAGGGTGCATTCTTTACACATAAACTGTTTATTCCTTGACATAATAGCATTTCTATGTGCTAATATATAGCTACCTAACAAAAGATTCAAGCACTTATATGAGTTAGTAGTCAAAAAAATTGATTGACTTTGCTAAAAGGCCATGAAATTAGCATATAAACCCATCTATTTTTAAATGTATCCAGGAAAGTATTCGTTACTTATTATAATGAAACACAGATGATTTCAACTTTCCCATCGGAATACTTAATATTCCTAACAAAATGACAAGAATATGGTTTTGCTGAAAACAGAATAAAGTGTTTTTATCTTCCTATAACTCAAAAAAAGGTAAACCCAAATGAAACAAAACTGAAATCCCACAGAAGGAAATGGTAAGAAACTGTTATAAAATCTTATTCATCCCCAAGCTTTCAAAAGACACTCTCCTCATCATGACTCAAACTCTTCTTCTGGCCCCAACTATTTCTTGAACTCCAAACCAACTGGCAACATTGGTAATGTTTTGAGGATGATGGTGGTCCCCATCCCTAGTGGAGCTTTCTAAAAGGAACATGCACAGGCAGCTAGAAAACATTCCTCAGCTGACCTCTCCCAAAAAGATCCTGGCCTCTCTCCTTTCCTGTGCTACTCTCTCTACAACACAGCTTTAGCTGATCTATATTCCTTGCGAAACAAAAGGAAAGATGTGGAAAACAAAAATACTTCATGGGAGCTGAGGCAGTGTGGCTCTTATACAGGGCTGTCCTTACCTTCTCCCCTTTACTGCAACTTCACTTTCTCCACTTTCCATGGGGTCCTACAGTAAGGGGCTTAGCACTCTAGAAAGTAACTGGGAACCTTGTGGAGGAGCATTAGGAGGCGAGAACAGATGAGAAAGAGGTAAAGTATGCTCAAACTTGCCTCCTGGCTGCCCTGAGAAGAATGAAGGATGCTGTTTCTAAGACATAGGGCCCCTGCTTGCTAGTCAGAACCTCAGTATCACCTCACAGTTCAGCTATTCTGCCACAGCCATAGCATCATCACCAAGAACAGCTCTGCTGCTGTAACCAAAGCTTTCAAAACCTAAACAGAGTTAGCATTTCGGTGACCGATTTCTGGGAAGCAACAAGTAATAAGATGAATAAAGGTTAATGACCCAGGAATGATATATAAACTTTGCTTCATGATTAATGTTCTAATTTAATAACCAAATAAAATTTCTTTTCCAACTAGACCAACAACAAAAAAACTACTCAATGAAGGAAGGTCCTATAAACAAAGTAGTTTATCTAAATGAGATTGTTTAACAGTTAATTCTAGATTAATTTATTCTCATGTTACTCTAGACAGGTTTAAATCATATTTCACAATCTGCAGTCTTCATGAAGAAAAAAATTAATTCAGTGTCAGAAAGGACAGATTCTTCAGTCATTTCTACTTTGATTCCTTGACACATTAAATGGATCTCGGGTCTTTTCTGTTAGTGGGAAGCTTTGGGTAAATTTCAATTAATATATCTGTAGACTTACTATCTCCTAAAAATGTTATCTTAAATATTATTGAGACAGAATTTTATTAATGATATAAATTATTTACTAAAAGTAAACTGAGATAAAGTAAAAAAAAATAAAAGGAAAACCCAATAGGATTTTAGCTTTCTGAGGTTCAACTATTTGTGCCTTAGATCATGTTGAAAGGATAACAAGGTAAACATTCTGTTAATGACACTATTTGTCAAAAACCTGTTAATTTTCATGGGTGAGTGTTTATGCATCTTTGTCATTTATCCTAATACTCTTATTTTTCCTTGAGAGAGATACTATAATCCAACGAAGTAATAGATGAAGAAAATTGTTCCTTCTGATGCTGCCGAGCCAGGGTTTAACCAATAAAAGTACAATGCATGATAAATTTGGGCATTACACTTTCAAAAAACAGATCTTTTAATATCTAATTCAGTGTGCCTACTGTCTAATAAACGTTAATATTCTACTGGGTTGCCTGGTGTGTCTACAGCTTACACCAAAAAATTAACAAGCTATCCCCCAAATTACTTTCCAGTTCTAAATGTGGATTCAAAGTATAAACACATAGGAATAGTTCTTAAAGACATACCTACGTCCTCGTACTAATAGTCTGGAGGCTTTTCCTAATAATTCAACTGCCTGTCGTAAGCGTTCCTCATTCTGAAGGAATCAAAGAAAAACAAGTGTTGGCTGTTTTAATGTTGAAATTTTTTTATCCCATAATATTTATTTTGTAAAGAATTAATAGCACTGGATCAAGGGGGAAACATGAAAGCTGCTAGTCCATTTTACTACTCTCTAGCAGAAAAGAAATAGCATGTAACTGTGAGCAGGGAAAAGTTTTAAAAGTAGTCACTGCATTTATTTATTTTCCCATGCATTATTTATTTAAACATTCTAAATAATTAAAGAAAAAATAAGACTCAAACTTACTTCAAACACATTAGCTGTCTGTTGATATAACTGTACAGCCTTCTCTGGATCAACATTTTCTATAAGCCTGTATTAGACAAGAAAATGTGATTTACATGAGAAATGGAAAGCTTGCTTTTCAAAGACTTTATTAAAACAAAAGACAAGACTTCTATGCAGAGAATGGTGCATCTCACACTCACTTTCCAGCTCGCTCCAAAGCCATGGCTGCTGTGTCTGGGGTGCCATTTTCTAGATACATCATGCTGGCTTTCTCAATTAGCTGAACAGCTTCTGGTAGTTTCTGCATCTCCTTTGGGCAAAGGATACAGCACACATCAGCAAATGCATCAATTAAAAAAAAACAGAGTTAACAATCTGAAACGCAATTATTTTTTATTTTAAGTTCCAGGACACATGTGCAGAACGTGCACGTTACATAGGTATACATGTGCTGCGGTGGTTTGCTATATACCTATCAATCCGTCATCTAGGTTTTAAGTCTCACATGTATTAGGTTTTTGTCCTAATGCTCTCTCTCCCTAGCCCTCCATCCCACGAATGGCCCCAGTGTGTGATGTTCCCCTCCCTGTATCTGTATTCTTGTTCAACTCCCACTTATCAGTGAGAACATGCAGTGTTTGGTTTTCGGTTACTGTTTTAGTTTGCTAAGAATGACAGCTTCCAGCTTCATCCATGTCCTTGCAAAGGACATGATCTCATTCTTTTTTGTGGCTTCGTAGTATTCCATGGTGTATATGTAACACATTTTCTTTATTCAATCTATATTGATGGGCATTTGGGTTGGTTCCAAGTCTTTGCTATTGTACACAGTGCTGCAATAAACATATGTGTGCATGTGTCTTTATAGAATGATATATGTTCCTTTGGGTATACCCCCAGTAATGGGATTGCTGAGTCAAATGGTATTTCTGGTTCTAGACCCTTGAAGAATCTCCACACTGTCTTCTACAATGGTTGAACTAATTTACATTACCACCAAAAGTATAAAAGCATTCCTGTTTCTCCACAGCCTCACCAACATCTATTGTTTCCTTACTTCTTAATCATCACCATTCTGACTGGCATAAGATGGTATCTCATTGTGGTTTTGATTTGCATTTCTCTAATCATCAGTGATGATGAGCTTTTTTTTTTTCATATATTTTGGCCACATAAATGTCTTCTTTTTCTACAAGGAACTTAAATTTGTAAGAAAAAAACAACCCCATTAAAAAGGGGGGCATAATGTATGATATGCAATGATTTTTGACTGTACAAAACACTGTATAGCAATAAATATATTTAAAATAAAATGCTTTATATGATTATTCTTTCAATCAAGCTTCATTAAGCCCAACCAAAAATATACTAGGTAATTTCTACACAGAGTTCATCATCACTTCACAGACCTTTAGGAAAAGTATGAAAATAGAAAAAAACAAAAACCTTGCTCTTTACTGTTTTCTAAGCATTTCTTATTCTTTCAACATTTACTAAGTCCCTATTATATATAATACCTATGCCAAATATCACAAACTGGCAGCCCAATGACTCTATCTCTCTTCCAAGTGTGTTTTGCTTGATCCATGCAGTATTTTAAAATCATAAAAACTTTCACAAAAGCTGTTTTATGGCTTTCTTCAAAACACACACACACACACATATATATATAAAACTCAAAAGCTACAGCACCAGCAGGCTTGCATCCCTGTATGGCAACGAGCTGGGGCTGGATAGTGCTGTCCCATCAGATGAGCATGCACCTCCTGGCATTTCTCCCTGCTCTTCACTTCCAACTTCCCTCCACGTCCAGGCTGCTTCATTTATTTCAGCTATTCCCGTAGGACCTGAGTTCATTTGGGTTTGCAACCCTCTTCCATGACTGATAAATTCTGTATCTTTAACTTACACATCTCAGGATCATGCAGTCCTAATGTCTAATATCTCCAAATCAAACATGTTTAAAACAGACTAAAAAAAATCATTTAAAAGCTGGTTATAAAGTTTACAGGAACAACTTATTTAGTGTTGACTTGCTGTATCTGAAGGTAGGCTCCACATTGCATCTCATGGGTGGTTTACAAAACTGCCTATTCAGTCCCTTGTGAAATCGACAAATTCATTAGGATATCCCTAACAAAACTGGTCTCATTTTCACCAACCCCAAAACATACTTTATTATTTAGCTATGGAAACTAACAAAAAAAACAGACTGAACGATAATGTATGAAATAAGGCTGCTATCATTCACTCAAGCAGAATGATACGCCAATACATCTCCAAACCTCAGTGAAAAAATAAAAACAATACTTTGTTATAAAACCAAAGGTCAATGAAAGAATCCGAGTCTACAATATTTGCTGAAGGATATCTGAAGGAACAGGGAGGTAAACCTAACAATTCTCTCTCAGGCACTTTAGTCCTGAAGGTCATTTTGGCTTTTAAAGAATACAACTGAACCTTGAACGACAGGGATTTAAACTGTGCAGGACCAATTATATGCAGACTGTCCTGCTCCTGGGCTACCAACACAGCAAAACCAACCCCTCCTCTTCCTCCTCCTCCTCAGTCCACTCAAACGTGAAGACCATGATGAGGATGAAGAGCCTTCTGATGATCTACTTCCACTTAAAGAATAGTAAATATATTTTCTCTTCCTTATGATTGTCTTAATAATATTTCCTTTTCTCTAGCTTACTTTATTGTAAGAATACAGTATAAAACATTCCATATAACATATTAACTGACTGTTTATATTATTGGTAAGACTTCTAGTCAATAGTAAGTTAGTGGCTTACACCTATAATCCCAGCACTTTGGGAGGCTGAGGCAGAAGTACCACTTGAGCCCAGGGGTTTGAGACCAGCCTGGGCAACACAGCGAGATGCAGTCTCGATTAAAAAAAATTAAAAACTAGCAGGCCATGGTGGCATGTGCCTATACAGCTACTAAGGAGGCTGAGGTGGGAGGATATTTGCTTGAGTCCAGGAGGTTGAAGCTGCAGTAAGCTATGATTGTGCCACTGCACTCCAGCCTGGGCAACAGCATAAGACCTTGTCTCAAAAAAACAAAAACAGTAGGCTATTAGTAAAGTTTTAGGGGAGTCAAAAGATGTATGTAGATGTTCAACTGCACAGGGGGTTGGCATCCCAACCCTGGGGTGGTTCAAGGGTCAGCTGTATTTCTTTCTCTAATTAACCTATCCACTAATTACATATATACTGTCAATATACAACATAAAAGCATTTGGGAGGATAAAAAGAAGTAACACAGGGACTATCCTTCAAGAGTTTTACCCAGTAGATTAGACAGAGCAAAAAATACATTAGAAGGCAGTATAAATGCCATCTAAGTCCTATTTGTTGTTTAAAAATTAATGACTACATCTCCCTGCTTTTGCACAAAATCAAGTGAGGCTGTGAATAAGAGGTCCAACCACAATATTGACACTTCTCCATAAAAAATGATGAGCTGCCTACTTGAAAGTTATACCCTCTACCATAAATATGCCTATTTTCTTTTTTTTGAGATGGAGTTTCGCTGTTGTTACCCAGACTGGAGTGCAATGGCACGATCTCGGCTCACCGCAACCTCTGCCTTCTGGGTTCAAGCAATTCTCCTGCTTCAGCCTCCCAAGTAGCTGGGACTACAGGCACGCACCACCATGCCCAGCTAATTTTTGTATTTTTAGTAGAGACGGGGTTTCACCTTGTTGACCAGATGGTCTCGATCTCTTGACCTCGTGATCCACCCGCCTCAGCCTCCCAAAGTGCTGGGATTATAGGCGTGAGCCACTGCGCCCGGCCTAATTATGCCTATTTTCAATGGCTGTGTGCCTGTGGAGCAAACAGGATATGAAATCATAGCAGTCATCAAGTGACAGAACCAAAGGTTGAGCCAACAAGTTCCTGTGGCTTCCCTTGTGCATCTTTCTACAAAATCGTACTCCCCACGTGTTGCTGGGGAATAAATGTGAAGGTCTGTATGACAAATTGATAGAAATTTCAGCCACAGAATTAACTGTGGACCATGTAGCTCAAGGCTCCCATGCTCCCAAGACTATCCAAAGGCATTTAATTTAAATATAAGACAATGCCAGAAAGCATTTTCCTTCAGATTTCCCTATCCATTAAGTTGATTTTGTTTCATCCAAAGTAGCGCCTTTCCAACACTCAAATTAAATAGATACTTGAGCAATAGAAATGAGGCCTGAATAATAACTTTTGATGAAGATTCAAGTCTTAGTACAGTTGTTGCAATATAAACTGAGGCTGTGAGAATCAGTGTTTGAGGATTTCTCAACAAAGTGTAGCCTAAAAACAGACACGAAGTACACTTAGACTGTAATAGCCACCTGGAAGCTTCCTAGTTCTCGGCAGAAAATGAGACAGAAGACCAGAGCAGATCCCTGGCTTCTTTGGCTGTAAGAGAAACTCCAGTTGCAAAGTTGCATCACCAAATATCAATTCAGTTGCATGTTCGGCCAGAAAAGCTATATTTCAATGGATATATAACAGTTTTTCATAGGAAGAATCACAATTTCTTCAAACACTTTCCCAAGATTAAAAATTTAGATAATTGCCATTTCTTCAAAAAATATCCTGATGCATAAATCTTTGCTCTCTCTATATATACATACACATATATATGTACATACATATATATATACACATATGTGTGTACATATATATATACATATATATACACATATATACATATATACATGTATGTATATATGTACACACACACACACACACACACATATATATATACGCGTACATATATATATATATATATATATATATGACAGATTCACAAAATTGAAATTCCTGAATCAAAGACTATAAAATCTTTTCAATTAAGCATGTTAACAGCTATTACTAACATTCTTTAACCTTTCTGGTATTTCTTAGTGTTCTACAAGAACGTGCCCACTGAAAAAAAATGAGTAAGTTCACATTACGAAAGTCATAGAAATTAAAAACAAAAGTTTTACTAAGATAAAAGTTCTTAAAAACAAAGCTTTATAATAAATACTTGAAAGTAGTTTTTACCATTTTAGAAAAAAAATTTTTTTTAAAGAAGAAGATTTTATTTTAACTGCCAGCTGGCACACTTTAAGAGTCAGTATCATATGTTCCATCTCACCACACCAGGACATTAATTCCTAGCCTGCTTTTGAGGGCAGAAGTACAAATAGTGTAAATAAAAGTAGCAAAAACTTAAATCTGTGGTTGTCTCTGCTGCCAACTGTTGTTCACACAAGCAAACATCTCTTCTTTCTATAACCCACGTATGATAATTTTTAAAATATTTATAACCATTCAGATGTCCTTCTCAAAAGTAGAGAAACTTCCGAAAGAGCTCTTTTTACAGCAGTACACATCTATCCTGGTTATAAACTTTAGAATGTTACTGTTCCCAGTTCCCTCCAAAACATTTTCTCTTAAATTTCACTTTAACAGTCCTTACCTTCAGACATGTAGAATGTATTCTATGGGTCCAATTACTGTTACCATGGACAGAAAATCAACTTTGCACCTCTTGCCTTAGAGTAAGGATGCTTTTCAACTTCAACATAAATTCTACATTAACACCTTATAGTTAATTTATGTTACCTACACAATAATTGTAACACAACATTACTGACCTTCAACATCATTCCAGCTTGCTCATAAGCTCTGCAAAGAGAATATAATTTCACTGATGAGATCTTAATGAAATAAGGGGTAGGAGAAACTTTCTGTTGAAGAACTACTGGTAAGGAAAGTGACTTCAGGTAAAATGGGCTCACGAACAACATATCACTTCAGGCTTGTATTACCACACAATACAATTTTTTATTCTTTTTATTTTCATGGGGAATAATGGCTTAGAACATCAGACATTTGAGTTAAAGAGATTTTATTTTGCAGATGCAAAATTAAGTAAGGCTCAGTAAAGTTAAATGACTTTCCATCTAACAAACCTAAATCTATGGGTTTTTTGTTTTTTGAGATGGAGTCTTGCTCTATTGCCCAGGCTGGAGTGCAGTGGCATGATCTCAGCTCACTGTAACCTCCACCTCCCAAGTTCAAGCAATTCTCCTGTTTCAGCCTCCTCAGTAGCTGAGATTATAGGCACATGCCACCACATCCAGCTATTTTTTGTATTATTAGTAGAGACAGGTTTCACCAAATTGGCCAGGCTGGTCTCGAACTCCTGACCTCAAGTGATCCACCCACCTCAGCCCACAAATAACTACTCTCCACAAAGAAGGAGAAAGCTTCCTGCTTCATTTCCATAGGCACTATTAGCTATCAAACAGAGGAAAAAAGAGATTCTAACTTATTTTTTCATAGACTAGTAAACAAAATGCTCCTAATAAAATGTTATGCCAAATTTAATTTAAACTCTTTACATTTTAGAGTTAAGAGTGATTTAGTTTTTAAGGTTTAGGTAAAAACTGAAGCAAAGAGAAATGATTATTATTTAAATCAATACAAAATTCATTATTTGGGAAAAATTTACCAACCCTACAGAAAAACAGCAACATTTAAAACATAATTTGCAAATACATGGAAATATGAAGAATACTTACTTGGCAGCATGAAAAAGACTGAATGGAAGTAATGAAGTCAAAGTTAAGGAAAAAAGGAAAAAAATCAATAGTTTCTAGAGATCTACTATTTAAAGACAGTTAACTAAATCACTGACCCAGGTGGTTCCAAAAGACAAATCCTACAACCAAGTAAAGAAGAAATAATTCAAAGCCTGTTGATATAGTTTAAAACTATATAATTCTCCAAAACACTGACATAACACAAATTTTAAACTATTTCTATTATGCAATTCACTGAAGTGCAAAGTTATTATGACTACACTTTGCAAATAAGAGAAACATTTTTTATCAGAAAGTTTTCAAATGCCTACTATAATTCTTATTTCAAATACCTGAGGAAAAAACTGTATTTTTAAAAAACTGATACAGTAGTTTATGCGTTTTCAATACCTGTCCTACTTCTTCATTCTTCAGCATGACTACAGATTTCCCTTACGTCATCACAAGTAAAACATCATCAAGTAAAACTATAAACAACAGAAACTAAGTTCTCAAATGTAGCTCTTCGAACCAGTGTGGACCTTATGATGAAACTTCACTATAAACGCTCCTTTACAGTTTAAAAATACACAATTTTTCTAATCATTTTCTAATTTAAAAACATTTTACTTCACAGGTAGTAAAGCAAATTTATAGCAAGAGAAAACAGCTTGTCAAAATCATCTAATTGTTTAATTTCTTTTTAAAGGTTGAAAAAGATACGCCCTATTATTTTCATGGGCAACAGCTTCCCTCAGGCAGGCATCTTTTGCTTGCTCAAACTGTTTGGCATTTTTAAAAGCAACAGCTGAAAAAGAAAAAAAAAAAACTGACTCTCTATTTCCATCACTGAAAAACCTCAAATGAATCATTACTAAAATCTGCATTGTATATGAAGTATTATAGACACACATTTCAAATACTTAGGAAGTTTCCAAAAACTATAAAATATTACTTTTTTCTAAAGCAATTTCCTTACAACTTTTCCAATTATCAGTAACTTAGGAGTATTTTTAAGTTTTTCTTTTTTAATTGTTGACTACTGGCAACGAATCAGTTACTTCAATTAGAAATCAGTAAGTCTTTCTAACTCCAACACTCCCTAACACTCTCCAGTGACAGGTAGATTCTTTAGTCACAAAAGACAGCACCTTACTTCACTACTTTTACATTTAATAATAAAACAGAACTTTAGGTATAGGTCATTGAATTATGTAGAAACTGAAGGCCAATAAGCACATTAAATAGTTTTTTTATAATAAACCTTCCTTTGGTATAATCTTTAAATGTCTAACAATGCATTTAAAAAAAATCTTTTATACTGTTTACTGTCTATAAAAAATATCTCACTGTTTAAACAGCTAAAGTATACTGTGAGCTGTTTTAAAAGTGTAATCATCAAAGCAAAACAGGAATGCTTATAAAATATAATCTTAAAATTTTGGAAAACTTTTCAAGGGCTGCTTACAAAGAAGCAAAAAGCATAATGCTTTAAGAAAAGTGTTATCTGTTAAAAACACTCTTAAAATTCTCTTTAATAAGATGTGAAAACCAAATACTGAACGATTCTCCTCCCTGCTTTTCTATCTGTTGCTTTTTTAAAAATTTATTCTGATTAAATAGATTTTTCATAAGCCCTTAAAGAAAATAAACAAAGAATGCTTCAATGGAAAAATCTGATCTAAAACATTTATTTTTGAATGTAGTTAATGTTCTCAGAGGGCTATAAAACAAATGTGTGTTAAATTTCCCTCACAGTGGAAACCTGCAAAACGTTGTTCCCTTCTGTTACAGAAGCCTCCTTGCAGAAGTAGTCCATAAAATTCACACAAAGTTGGAACTTTTAATAATTTTAAAGTATGAGATATAAACAGTTTGCATGATGCAAAAAAAAAAAAAACCAGAATTTACTCTGATTTAAATAAAAGTACTGAAGACTCATTTGCTGTTTATCCAAAAGCACTAGCCCTAGATGATCTCTATGCTAGGCTAACACATGTGATCAGGGTTATCGCTGAAATACAGCTGACAATGTGTTCAAGGTACTTCAAAATTTTGTTTTATTTTATTTATATTCCAAGTCATCACAGATATGCTGAAAGCTATCATTCTATAATTTAGAATGCTAAATTTTTAGTAAAATTCCCTTTCTGTTGCATATTTTAGATTGTTTATATCTTACATACAAATAAAATGATTAAAATACATATATAGCTTAACACTTCATGAACAATGAACAAATACACTCAAAGTGAGGTTCATAAAGGATAAAAGTACCAAGCAAACATCATCTGTAGATCTGCTTAAGATGAGGATAAATTAACAAAACAATTTAACAAACTCTTTATTCAACAGAAAGTATAATCGAGAAATATGGCAAAATTCATGGATACAGTATACAAATAACTAGAGTTGAAAAATATATAAGCAATGCTAAAAACCCACTGCTGTATATCACCAACCTCGCCCCATCCCTGCTGTCATAAACAACAGGTACCAAGATCTCTGACTCAGCTCTCAACACATCTGAAAATAACAAGAGGAGAAACACTCAAGGGTTTGCACAGTTGTTCTGTTTGTTTTTTTAACTATTAAAGCCTTGTAGAAAGCACATGAGTAAGCATTACGGTGAAATGAAGTTATCAGACTATATTTTAAGATTACATACTAGAGCAACTGGACTATAGTAAAAAATACCTGCTTTTCCATATTCAGAAGCGGCACTGTCATAATCTGGCTTCCATTTTAAAAAACCAGTTTTCAGGCTAGAATGAAAAAAAAACACAGTTAACAGAAGTTACCAACCACATTTATAAGTCAGATACCTGCTTCTAGGTTAAAAAAAAACAAAACAGGAGGAGCCATCAGGCACAAACTCTTTGTGTCACCCTCCTCCACCCAAACTTACGCCTCACAAATACAACCTCAGCTCTTTCTCTCCCACTGTCACAGGTATGTGGTTTTCCTCCTAGAGGTTCTCAATTCATGGTCCCCAGACCAGCAGCATCAGCACTGCCTGGGAACTTACTAAAAATGTAAATTACTGACCCCATCCCAAGCCTACAGAACCTCTGAGGTTTAACAAGCCCGAAGGTTCATTAAAGCTTACGAACATCTGAAGTATGGTAATGACAGCAGAGGGGATTCATGAAACTGAAGTGCGACGAGAGGCTAGAGACATAAATGGAGGTGTCATAAGCAAATGTCAAGAGCATAGATGAGATCCCCTAGTGAGAATGCATAGAGAGAACAGAAACACTAAGGAATACAATCATTCAGTGGAATGACAGAGGGAGTAGGCACAAAAGCCAAGAGACACTGCTTTCCAGGACCACTACTGGCTTCTTAAGACGCCAAATCAAAGGCCAGTTTTTTAAATCCTTATCTTACTTGCCTTTCTTTTCCTCAATATTTTATTTCTTTTTCTTACTTTAAAATAATTTCACACTTGGTTTAAACTAATTCAGTAACTGTCAAATTTGAGTGTGCATAAGAATTGCCCAAACCATCTTAAATTCTAAATTTCATTCCATTAGGGAAGGCCTGCTTGGATAGAATGCTGCTTGCTTCAAATGAATCAGGGCAGTACCTTAACTGAAAGATGGAAAATCTGAATTAGCCCTCAGAAGTATAGCCTTCCTTCTGTGACAGCCATGTGAACTGCCAAAAGTCGTAGCCTTTTTTTTTTTCTTGTGATAGGGTCTCACTTGGTTGCCCAGGCTGGAGTGCAGTGGTGTGATCTCGGCTCACTGCAACCTCTGCTTCTCGGGTTCAAGTGACTCTCGTGCCTCAGCCTCCTGAGTGTCTAGGATTACAGGTTTGTGCCACCACACTCAGCTAATTTTTGTATTTTTAGCAGAGAAGACGTTTCACCATGTTGGTCAGTCTGGTCTTAGACTCCTGGCCTCAAGTGATGTACCTGCCTAGGCCTCCCAAAATGCTAGATTACTGGCATGAGCTACTCACTGAGCCCAGTTAGCCACAGCTTTTAAGTAACATTTTTTGCCAATTAAATTTATTTATTTAACATATTTAGTATCTAAAACTTCTTTGTGTATATAGTGTTACAAGATTCAAATTAGTACAAGCAATTTTTCAAGCTTACCAAGAATTTCACTGCTCAGAAAAATAATATCCTTGAATTGTGGTGTGTCTACTCTAATTCACAAAATTAGGGAAATATGCAAAATTTGAACCCTCCATTCCTATCCCAAAACAAACACTACATTATCAATATTAACATAATTTTTTTAATCCCACTAAAAACCAGATACAATCATTCAGTCACCTAATGTGCTATACACGGAAAGACCCAGAGAGTTTAAAACTGGGCAAAACTATCCCAATCACATGAACACCACTAATGCGGAAGAAAGACGTAAAGCTAATTTAGGTTTAATAGCTATACCTGTTAGTCCTTTTCACTCTTTTTCTCCAAAGAATCAATAAGGAAACTAACCAATTTCCACAGAAAAAAGGAAAACAGCAACATTACCATCTGTGTACAGGAATCAATTTACAAAATTACTCAGCAATATTGAACTGCATCATCATTAGAAAACAGAGAAGAATCAAATATCTCCTAAGCTCCTGGCCCATTTTGCCTGCTACTCACTCAGTAACTGTCTAGCAGCATTTCAAACTAGCAACGAGCCTGAACCCCACACCTCCCCACCCCACCTCCCTGCCCCAGATCAACCCACCAATCATGCCCATTAACCTATATCCCCTATCTTGGCTGAAGGCCTCTCCCACTCCATCTCTCAAGTTAGAAACCTTATAGAGATGAGTTAAGCCTTCGTCTCTATAAGCAGGCAGGTTATTAAAGCATGTCAACCCTATTGACAAATGTCACCCAATCCTACCCCTGCACTGTTACTTGAATTCAGGCCATTACCAACTCTTCCCTGAAGTCAATAACCCGCTAACATGTCTGGCACCACCTTCATGGGAGAGTCACCTTTCCTCCTCTTCCATTCCTCACACCCTGAGCATATTACCTTTTCCCTGCTTCATATCTCCAGCATACCATAATGAATACTTCCATTCTAGCACTGAACATCTTATTTTTACTCCTCTGTTCACTTGTCTGCCTGCCTGTGAATTCTAAGGTCTTGAAGGCACCACTTTTGGTTACTCCTGTATCCTCAGTGGATGGTACAGGTACACAGTGACAACTTTGTAAATGTTTACTGAATATGTCAAAATTCTCCGACCAACCCTCTCCCCATAGTCCATTCTCTACATTAATGTCACATTTTTCTTTTCTTCTTTTTTTTTTTTTTGAGACGGAGTCTCCCTCTGTCTCCTAGGTTGGAGTGCAGTGGCATGATCTCCACTCACTGCAACCTCTGCTTCCCGGGTTCAAGTGATTTTCCTGCTTCAGCCTCCTGAGCAGCTGGGATTACTGGCGTACGACACCATGCCAGGCTAATTTTTGTATTTTTATTAGAGACAGAGTTCTACCATGTTGGCCAGGCTGGTCTCGAATGCCTGACCTCAAGTGATCCACCCGCCTCAGCCTCCCAAAGTGCTGGGATTTCAGGCAAGAGCCACCACACCCGGCCTGCTGCCACATTTCTTTCTTCACCAAAAACAAATCTGGCCGGGTCCACTGGTTAGTTGCCTACAAAAGCCATCTGAGAAGCTGACCCTTCACACTTTGGCTCCAACTCTTCTTCACTCCAGTTTTTCCCGTCACTGTAAGTACACTACAATCACTGTTCCCAGAGCACATTTTCAGGCCAGTGTATGATACATACTACAGATTGTGCACAGAATCTCTTTCACAGGATTTTCCCTCTGTCTAAAACATTCTGTATTTTTCAGGCCCTGCTCACAAATCATCTCTTCCTTAAATTTTCTCAGGCAGAACAAACTTCTCCCTCTATGATACCTACACAGTTCATACAGCTTTTTTGTGGTGCCTATTCCACACACTATTTATTCTTACTTCAATTTTTACGTGTGCTCCCACTAGAAAGTCAGATTGTTGTGGAAATCTCCTGCACCAGGAGAACCCCAGTACCTTACACACTGCTTGCCTCGAGTCATGTGATAGAAAGGGTTTGAGTTTTTCCAGTGTTTGAAAACTGGCTCTGCCATCTTTCACCTGCGCACCCTGGGGTAAGTCATTATGAGGCTTCTATGAGCTTCATTTCCTCTTACGAAAAATGAAAATCTCTATTTGGGCAGTTACTGTGAAGATCTTAGCTTATGAAATTACGTATGTGAAGCACCCACCATAGAACACAGCACCGACTTTTCATTAACCCCGTCAGATAAAAATGAGCTGGAGTAATGAAACGGCGGGGGGCGGGGGGAGCCTGGGGGGTGCCAAAATAATGATTTAAGGAGAATCAGTTCAGTCCCACGAACATTTCCTGGGTGCCTATTACATACTGTACCAGAAATGGCAGAACATACACATCAAAGGACGACGGAAGCACAGTCGTGGCCCACTGGAACAGTAAAATGCCAGATGACAAAGGTTCACCGAGTAGTTTTTGGGGTAAATCTATGGTCCTCTCCACACAAGGGCCTCTGCTAGGGCGGTGGTTCTCAACTGGGCGATGTTGCTCCCCAGAGGACATTTTTGGTTGCCATAAATGGAGAAGAGGTGCGAGAGGCACGTAGCAGGTAGAGGCAAGGGATGCTGCTAACGAGCCTCGGATACAGAAACAGCCCCCACCACAAGAAGCCTTCAGAAGCTCAGCGCCCAGGTAGAGAAGCCCTCTTTAGAGACCAGCTCCGCAGCACTGCGCCGGGTCCCCGCCCACACCGGGTCTGAGGAGCGGACTTCCGGCTGGGTGGACCCATGGCGCTGCCCTAGGCGCTGGAGGCCTGACCCCGACCCTGACCTCGGAAGCGCAACCCTGGGAGTGGAACCCCGGGAGTGCGACCCCGGGGACACCAAGCCCCGGCAGCCCCGCAGGCACCAGCGCGCCGAGCCCCCTCAGCCCCGTGCCCGCCCTCTCGTCCAGCCGGGTGCTAAGGCCGCGCCTGTGAAAGACGGACTTGGCGTCCACACACAGGCCCGCCCGGCGTCTCACTCACTATTTCTCTGCTTTGGCGAGGTGCTCCAACCCTTCGTTTATCTTCTGAGCCGCCATCTCCACAGTCAGGTCTGTGACGTGGAGAAAGAATGAGCCTACCTCTTCCTCGGGCGCCGAGAATCTACTCGAATAGGCGTGGGAACGCCGAGTAGGAAGCTGGTGCGGTGCCACAGCCGAGCGGCTACGGAGGGCCGGAGGGCTCAAGCTACTGCGGCGAAGCGGGGCTGGGAGCTGGCCGCTGCGCCCTGCAAAGAGACATCACGCAAGCGCGGTGCGTCAAGGCTGGCCCCATCCAGGGCACCCGGCGCAGGCGCGGTGAGATACTGATGGGGCGTATTCTTTCACTCAGTATTTACAGAGCACCTAATATGTCAGGCACTATTCTAGACACGAGAAAATCAGCAAAAATGCCCGTCCTCTTGAAGACTTGCACCAGGAGTTTTTCATAAATGTGAAACTACCGTGGGTCTTCTTTGTAGGGTTAATTGGCCTTATAACTTATTACATCTGAAGATTCTCTGTATCACAGCTAGAATAGTATTCATCTATCCATCCATTCTACCTTTTGGGTATTAATCGTATGTCAGTCAAGAAACGAAACAGACTTGTAAGCCCTGATTACTGTCAAAAAATCCGCTCCCGGCCCAAATAATCGCTCTAATATTTGAAGCCGTGATAAGTGCTCTAAACGGAAAGTCGAGGGGCATAAGGTCGCGTACAGTGGTCTGGTAGAAATAGTAACCAGTCATACAGTTGGCTCCCTTCATAATTCATGATGATGTCAATATCCACATGGATGATTCCTGCAATGCCTGTACAGCCTCTCAGCTTCCACCTCCTGTGATATTTCCCACACCAGAGCAGCCACACATTCTCAGGGTCACATCCTTGGCCTTACTCATAATTGCATGCCCTCCCTAGTGTCAGTTTCAAGCAGCCCACTTTACTTTCCCTTGCCATTCCTACTTGTACCTCCTAGTGCCAGTAATATTTACTTCACCAAATTCCTCACCTTTCCCTATCCCTCTGCTCTTACACGTCCCTCTTTTCCCAGCATAAACTCATGTCTCATCATTCGATGCCTATACTCTCAATGTCCTTGGCTCCCTTTCCGTCCTTTCCCCTAGCCAGGAAAAACCCCAACTTTCCATCTACTCTGAAACTGCTCTTAAGCAAGTGAATTTGGCTAGAAAAAACCAAACGAGCATGCTAAATTACTCATTTTAATGATCATAAACATCAAGCTGACCTTTGGTGCTGCTGAGCAACTCTCCTACATTTCCACGGTCAAATCCTCACACAGTTGGAGAGCTGTTCACACCTTCCTCCTCACAACTCCTACCCAAGCTCTGCTTGCCTGCTAACTCTCACTTCTTGTTGAATAGAAAATAACAATTCAAAGAGTTCTTCCCTTTGGCCTCACCACACAATCTATCAATCTACCTGCATCTATTTGCCAATCAATATTTTGCCTTTTCTCTGGTGACAATGGGTGAACTGGCCTTGGACTTTTTCTGTTCTATCCTCACTCTTATTTAGTACCCACACACAAGTCCCCTCTTCATTTGGTTGTCTAGCCTGGGCTTCCTTATAGGAAGGCAGCAGAATTTCAAGAGAGTGAGAGCGGATGCTTCAGGCTTCTTCGTAAGGCCTGAACTCCCACTGCACATCACTTCTGCCACATTTTATTGAACAAAACAAGTCATAAGGCAAGTTCAGATTCAACAGGTAGAAGATAGAGGAGTGTAAAATACCGTGACCATGACTTCCAATTCACCACAATTCTGGGATGACTGATTAAGCACAAAAGGACTATTATCAGTGGAAAGCCTTATGCTTTCAAGTGAATTTAGATTTATTAACCACCCAGCGCCATCACCTTCTAAAACCATCAAAAGTGCCCAGAAAGTTTTCTAAGGGATCTACACCAAAAGCATATACCCTCCTCCACATTCTTATTCATTCATTCATTATTGAATTTTTATTCACTGAATGCTCACTCTGCACAAGACACTGGGCCTCCACACCTAGGACCCAATTGTTGAGCAAGAGCTATAATGCCTGCTCTCATGACATTTGTGATCTATGAGAGGATACAGTATTTAACTTAATTTTGTTTTGGCATCAACAAAGAAAGAATTTAAAAAAAAGAAAGCCATGATAATGATACAGCAGTTATTAAGAAATAAGTTTTAGGCAGATAGTAAGGGTAAAGATTTTTGGCAGAAATTTTCCTGTTATCCGAAGCAACCCCTCAACCATCTCTTTTCTAATAGAAAATGCAGCTTGAGGGCCAGGCCAGCAAGCTTTGACATGCATATGCTGACCATTAGAAACTGGCTTCACTCAACCTGGAGATACCTGCCAGCTTTTCCTTGTTATCAGGTATACCAAGTGTCATGGCCACCTCCAGATAACACCATGTGTTCAGAACCTCGTGGTGACCCGCATCTGCATATTAAAGGACTAAGGTGGGAAAGCCAGGTTTTTTGAGGGCTATGTAAATGACATACCTGGTCAAACCAATCCCCTGGGCCCTATGCAAACCAGACACTCCCTCCTCCAGCATCCCAATATAAGCAATTACTTTTCTACCGCACACTGGGTTTTCTCTTTGTTCAAATCTTCCCTCTCTCTGTCTCTGTATGAGGGAGCTGTTTTCTTCTCCCTTCCTTCTCTCCTATTAAACTTTTTATTCATTAAAACCACTCCATGTGTTTGTGTCGTTAATCCTATTGGCATGAGACCAAGGACCCTGGTGTTCCTCCAATCATCAGAACTTTATCAATAGCCATTGGCGTTCAGTGGTTCTATGTTTCAAAGGACCCTTAACCAAGGAAGCCATGGTAACCTGCATTCACAGTAAACGGGAGAAGAAGAGGGAGAAAGGGCACAGTAAAGGTGTAACACAAATGCCCCCACTTTCTTCCCCTCCCTTTCTCTTCCTACAATAAAATTGAAGTGGGAGTTGAGCAATGAGAATTTAAACTGAGAAGCCAGCTTGGAAGAGCTGAGAATGGAAAGCATGGACCAGATGATGATAGACAAAGACAAGTAGTTTTCCAAGCTAGATTCAATAGCATAACTCAGGCCTTGGTGACCCATAAATGCAATTCTTGTTAACACAGCAGCTACCACCGGAACCTCAGCAAAAGTTGGCTTTGTGACTTCAACTTATCTCTTGCCTAAGCCTGTTTAGACACTTAATATCCTCCCTCACTCACCCCGTCAATGTACAAACTGGCTGGCTGCTGGCCCAAGTGACTCCATCTAAACCAATCCTCTCCTCTAGTTCTAGAAACTCCTTTTCTTTATCCTGCCTCAATAAAAATGTGCATTCCCAAGTGCTCTACTTGTTTTGGGTGTGACTAAAGTGATCACACCAAAGTGTGAATGAGACTTAAAATAGAGCTTGCAAACCCTGTCTGAGAGTTCTTTGAGCCTGGGTCCCCAGGTTCCTTGTCTCCACACAAACCTGCTTCCTTCCCCTAGCCTCATCTGCTGCCACGAAGCAAAATCCTTGGACCTACCTCCCACAGCTGAATGTTCCAGTCAAATAAAAGGTCTGTCATTTCTTGGAGAGAGGGTTTGTGGTTGGTCAAATGAGCTCTATTTCAAATCAGGAATCATAAATAAGGGAGCATAAGAGCTCCTATATCAGTAAGTTTTGTTTGTTTAATTGCTAGTACCTTGACAGCGTTACTTTACCCTTCTCCCCCTCCCCTAAATAGACTGTTTTCTCATGCAAGAGATACACTTCTGAGACCTGGCCCAAGAGGTTAGCCATGAGTCATAAAATTATTTCTCTGGGAATATATATTCTGAATTATAAATAATAAATTTACAAAAAACCTTTGGAACAAATTCTGCTATCATCTGGCAGTTCCCCTCATCAGAATAGGATTTTGGAAGATTGTTCTTGGCTTTTGTTCTAATAAAACTAATACAAGCCTTTACAATCTGTATTTTATTTTATTTATTTATTTTTATTTTTAATTTTTTTGAGACGGAGTCTCACTTTATCCCCCAGGCTGGGTGCGATGGTGCGACCACAGTTATTTTCTGGTTAAGTGTTAACGAATACATTGATTTTTTAAAATCACCACTGAATCTATATGAGATCAAATGGAGAACGCTTTCTCCAGATTCCTTTGTCCAATGCCTGCTTAGCAACTCCACGTGGACATCAAATGTCACACATAACCTGTCCAAATCTGAGCCCCTGATGCCCCCACACCTGCTTTTCCTTCAGGCTCAAACGCGTCTGTTCATGGCAGCTTCACCCTCTCCTTGCCCAAACACATACAGCCATGCTCCACTGCTCCCGTCCTCACACCACATGTAATCTATAGGAGATTCTGTTGATTTTGCCTCCAAAAAGTGTCCAGAGGCAACCGTGTCTTTGCGTCTGCCTGTCCACGGCCACCACATGGTCTGTGAGTCGCCGTCATCTGTTACTGCGTTTGCTGTCTGTGTTCAGAACCTAGTGCAGTGCAAGCTCCAGAGCAGAACTCAGTCAATTTCAGCTGAAAGTCCTGTGTGATTACAGAAAAAGAGGAAGAAGCATCTGGACACTCAGAAGGTGTTTCTCTCAAATCCGGCCGTGACCCTTCTTCAAGGTAATTTCTTTTTTTTCCCCTTTTTTAGAGACAGGGTCTTACTCTGTCACCCAGGCTGGAGTGCAGTGGTGTAATCATGGCCCGCTGCAGCCTCAAACTCCTAGGCTCAAGCAATTCTCCTGCCTCAACCTCCCAAGTAGCTTCGACCCTAGGTATGTGTCACCACACCTGGCTATTTTTGTTATTTTTAGTAGAGGCAAGTCCTCACTGTGTTGCCCAGGCTGATCTCAAATTTCTGGGCTCAAGCAACCCTCTTGCCTCGGC